ACGCATTGCACTGAGGCATCTGTGCACATTTCCTTTTGTCTATTAAACTCATAATGTAAGCAGCTATGTGCACACTTTCCACACCCTGCACAAAGTCCACCTATACAGTGAAACAACCTCTCAAGTTTTCTGACAACTTAAATGTGTCTTAAATGTTCAAATCTATTACTCAGGATTTAATTGTGGCTATTTGTGTTAATAATTAAATGCATTCATTATTGCTGTTTTATATGTCCTATACTTTGCCAATGTGGCCTAGCTGTCTTGTGCTTTAGCAACGACTGGATGAGCAGTTTAGAGACAGGGCAAAGACATCTCAAAGATTGTGGGGTATTTACTTTATTTCTTGCTTGGTCAGTGAATGAAGATACAGTCTCTTTTTCCGCTGAAAGATTTTCTTCTGCAAAGGAAAGAGAGAGCTTCTGAATCTGTTACTGTGGTGAAATCTCAGACGGTGTCTAATGTGGCTGTCCTCCTGTATATTGAGGAGGATTTTTGTTGAGGGTTCTATGGATGATATTCATTCCCAGTTGCATCGGCATCTCATTGTTGCCTATATAGTCTGTGGTATTTTGTGCAGCCCAGTGAATGTCCTAAACAGGCTTGCATGTCTGCTCCCCGAAAGTGAAGCCACAGCATCTTGATCATCACCTAGCAGCTAGCTGCAGTATAGCCAGCAAATCCTGCCTCCTCCATGTTAATGGATGCACTGTAAGTTTTTTCTGCTGCTGAATGTGGTTTCTTGCTAGGAGCAGTTGGTGGTGATGGTCACGTGACAAGATTTTTCACCATCATTGTACTTGTAAGACAAGGGGTCATATTACACCTCTGAGCAGCGCTCCTCAGACCAGACTGGATACTGCAGTGATTTGTGATGAGAAAGTGATCTGAACAGTGGTTAATGCTAATATTGGGGATGTAATAAGAGGAAAACACCTACAGATTGCAACATGAAATGTCAAACCCATTCTAGGGTAAAGAAAACAACAATTTGTACCATTTAGATGAAACTCACTAATGAGAACATCACTAGGATTATTATTATTTCAATTTCTGCCAATAGAACCATTTCACCTAAATCTCACACACTGAACCTTGAACTGACATCGGAGTGACTGGCAGTAATCAGATTTCATGTAACTTGTCATTGTTTGGGTCCCTGTTTGTGAATTACCTTTTTTGCCTTTGTCTGAAAATAATGGCATTTTCTTCATTCTGAGCCTCTAAATTTAAATATGGCTTCATTTGAACATCTTACACCTCCCAGTAGTTTTAGACTTAAACAAACACGCCTTGTTTTCTGTCAAATAAATGTTCTAATCATGATAGATGCTTCAATATTTACTAGTCTTCCTTTAGGGGACTATAGCTTTCATATGTAAATGTTGGCCATGTGGAGCCAAGAAGATTGTCTCCTGATAGATTTAAAAATAGTTTTCTCTGAATGCTCTTGTGCCAGCTGTACTCTAGTATTAGTATTCCTGCAGATCATTTTGCTAAATATCCTCTCTGTGATATTTTACTCTTCACTTGCAGTAAAAGTCAATCATGCTGTTATTTGGAATGTGTTGAAGACTGAGCAGCTCATTGTTTAAGCCAGTAATGTGTCCTGTAAATGGGTTTCTGTGGCATAGATAGATTTTGGAAGTAGACGGTCGACCCTACTCTGTGATTTTTGCAATACTATTCCTGCCACAAAAAACTTGAAGATGAAACCCCTCAGATCTCAAGATTTCTCAAACTCTTTTGTCCCTTTGTATTTGATCAAAAATATGGCCAAGAAACCAAATTATACCCTATCCCTCCGACCACCAAATGGTTTACCAAGTACCCTTTAACTTCAGCTTGTCCGCTTGTGTATCTTTTGTTGTGTTCAACAGTAAAAGTAGCTTGCAAGTTTTCAAGGATTTAGAATACATACATATCATTGAAAGATTTTCCGCAGATAAGGAATCCAGCAGTGAAATCTCCTCTTCACATGTAAAGTGTTATTACTGTACTGTCACTTTTATTTCTTTAGGCTGTCCCATGTTGGGCTGAGATGGATCACCATTTTTTTGAGTTCCTTATTACAATGACACATTTTTTATATCACCTAAACTGCCATGTTTCAACGAGCTGTCATAACCCGTCTCCAAAATTACTGCATATTTAATAGCTGCTCAATTATAAGAATAGCTCGTAGCTATAATTAAATATATAATTACATATAATAGATTAATATTAATATAATAAACTTTAATGGCTTTCACAAAACTTGCAAAAAGCAAACCATTCGGAATGTTTGATTTCTGACCCTTCGTGTTTTAGTGGTATTGCACAGAGATGATGCAAGAAGACTCCGGCCTGAAAAGTTCGACCTGTCATCCAACCCACTTTGTACACACATCCATCGCATCAACAGAAAAGGATGGGAAAAGGGCAATAGATGAAAGTGCAGATGCAGCAGCCAGAGTTGACGTCCTCATTCCTTCTCCCAGGTCTGTTTTATTACCGTAGTGTCAGGGCTGAGCCTTCCTAATTGTATTCAAGATCACCATGTCTCCCTTTGATGATGCGTACAATGGGAAACGGAGGGAGAATCAATCACAGGGCAGCCCTGCTCTCACTCTACCGCACAAAAACGCGAGCACGCACACAGAGAACCGTGCAAACACATACACATGTTAGTCTTTTGCTTATTTTTAGTATTCTCTATATTCTCTCTTTCCTCGTTCTGCCTATGTGACACACACAACACACACTGGGAATGAAGCTGTGCAAGTGTGTTCCATCTTCTGTGTGTAAGTCAGTGTGTGTTTAAGTGAGTCATGTTTTAAATGTGAGGTCGGACCAGAAAAGTGTCATGATGGTGGTCCTGCCAGCTGTAAAGAGGGTACAGTGCACAGTGGAGGGGCAGATTCAATTAGTGCTGTAAGCGCCATGAAATGGTGATCACACAGACTCTAATGTCAACAAGCATCAAATCTTTTGGTTTTCAGAGAAGGAGCTTATCTCTCCCTCCTCTCCCTCTTTTTCTCTGCATCCTGCATGCTTTGTCCTTCACGTATGGTGGTAGTTAGGGTCACAGAGGCCGTAAATCGTTGGTAGAGGGACGCGCAGCCAACGCCATTCATCAATGTAATTAGCGTTCGGTGTACGACACTGCAGCTACAGACATAGCTGCCCGCTTTCTGACAGGCTATCTAACAGGCCCCCATCCTCGCTCTCCTCTCCTTTTCATGCCATCTCTTAGTTTGTCTCCACAGAGGGGGTGTGTACACCTGTCACAGCCATCACCTGCTCTGTTTGATTGTCTTCCTGCAGTAAAACTTTCATTATTCGAGTGTGTGGATAAGAGAGGGAAAGACGGTTTCTGGATTCTAATGTGTGTGTGTGTCTGTGTGTGTGTGTGTGTCTGTGTGTGTGTGTTTGTGAGCCGAAGAGGGAGCGAGCAGGCCGTGGTATGGTGACATTTGTTCATTTGTCATTTCGGTTGAGTGGTGCAGTAATTACTGCCACTGGGGGCTCGCTCTTGTGTTTGGGGCTCGGCCAGAGAGCAAAGTGTGCTGTCAATGGGAAAATGCAAGGTCCCGGGAGGAGCCGCTTTCCTCTCTCCCCTCATTGATAACACTCCCATTGTGCAAACAGCTTGAGTTGTAGCCAAAATTACAGTGGCCTAATTTTATTTTCAAATATTTCTAGGTGAAGGTGGGTTCTGTGGTTCTGCAGCATGAAAAGCATTAGACATGCTTATCCCCAGATGCCCACACAACAGTACTCAGAGTAACATGCACGAAATCACACAACAATGGACATTTAAGACAAGAAGACACAGAAACAGAGGAGGGGAGTATAGGATCTTCCCACGCTCTACTTCCACAAAGTGTCTTTAACAAGGTTGCATAACATCACAACGCTCGCTCATTCATCCGTTTCCACCCACGTCCTCCTCCGTTACATATCCCGTCTTCTGAGCAGGTGTTTGTTAACTCTATCTGGTTCTTGGCTGAAGAGATTACCAGTGATCCGGCTCGCTGCAGTGAATGAATGTGGCTTGGTGATTCCCGAGTGCGTTCAGAATACCAGAATGCCAAGTCTATTAAAGTGAGAAAGGTTCATTTGTCACAGTTTCCACTGGTGCTGCCGTAATGACCAGGTATGTGGGTGACAAATGGCCTGACCTTTTCCACTCCCTTATAATCAAGAGTATTTGCCCAGCACACGGCCATTCCCAGAAGTGTTCAGTAACTAATATACATATCGTGTGTGTGTGTGTGTGTATGTTTATATGGATAGACAGATCATAAAGAATGGATTTATCATTATCTTTGATTGCTCTAACATATAATGCAAAAACGTTAGCTTGCCCAACTAATTAGCTTTGTATGTATTTTTCTCACAAGCATCACACTGCAATATAATTATATTTATTATTATTCAAATGTCTTCCGCATTAATTTTGAACAGATTTTTTGCTTGGGACATACGACTTTACTCTCAGTCATTTTGCATTTTCCTGATTTAAGTACAATTTACAGTCAGGTAGAGAATATTTAGCTACTATGTTCATATCGCTCAAACAGGGAATCGTCAGAGCAATCCTGCAGGCACTGTCAGGGACTAGTAAAAGGTTTAAATTATTGGAAGTGTTACAAAACTACTAGCAAGTTACAAAAGTAAATAAATGTTTAACATAAGAAACTTGAAAAGAGCTACGAAATGAAGGGCAGTTCCTCAAAAAGAGGTCAACTAACTAATAAAGAATGTAGATTTAGAAACATGGACTAGTTGTGGACAAACACAAAGGGGAAGTACCAACTACTAACAAACTTAAGATATGCAAACATAAATAATCTATCCAAAGAAACCTATCTACAAAGATATTTTAGTGTGAAGCAAATGATAAAGAAACCATAAAAAGAAAGGATTTGAGAAATCTTAAATCAAAGCCGCACCACCCCCCACCTCTCTCTCTGATGGCCTCCTCCACTTCCTGTGGGCTGTCTTTAAAAGGCCATCTTTGCCAGGCTTCTGGCTTTTTTACCAGGGGAACTCAGTGAGACAAACAAACAGGTAAGTGCAACAACTCCAAAAGACCACGTGACAGAATGTTAATGCAATGGTGTGCACCAAAATTAGAAAACAAACTATCATACTGAAAAAAAAAAGTGTTAAATATGAACACAAAGGACTTTGCGTCATTATTTTGAAATGTTTGGGTGTAAAATGTAATCAAATCTAGATAAATACTAATACTGGTGGGCAGCTGTTGATGTGGCTGCCACAATCACCTAGTGCTTATTTTTCATCTGTTGTTTAAGGCTCTCGCAATGTCCCGCAATTTGTTTGAAAGTCCTGCAAACAATCTGAACCAGGGTTTGTGTAATCCAGGCCAAGACAACCTCTTTTATCTGGACTAAATGTTGGTCCTTTTATCCAGACTGTGGACCTCTCACACCTCTTTTTTAGGTTTGGACTAAACTAAAAAGTTTAGAAGTTCCGGACCAAACAAGAAATGAGTAACATACTTTGAAATACCTTGAAGGACCTTTGGTTGCTAATACTTCTGTGACATTTCAAATATAATAATACATTGCATATTGCTTCTTATATTTTCAAGTTGTAAAACTAGCAAATAATGTTATGAATACTTTCTCTACCACTTTTGTGCTAATAACTTTATAGGCAGTCATTTTTTTTTGTCTAGTTTAAATGCAAATGTACTCAAGATCCCATTTTCACATCAGGATTTCCAACAACAAGGAAGGGAAAATGTGGAGATTAAGCTATTTGTCATATTAACCGTGCACACTCTGACCTCCACACAAATCAAGCTTCACCTCCTCATCGCTCTTAACTTGTTTTGAGCAGCCACTCTTGACTCATAGAAGTAGTTGAGGCAATCAACGCAAATTATGGAGTAAGCTATGCTGGCGTTACCCAAAAGGTAAAATCTTTATAATTCTTGGAAAATAAAAAGTTAGAGGCAATAGTCAGATATAGGGAGTGGTGAACAGATTCATACACAGGTGTAGCCAACGTTATATGACTGTAACTGCTCTTCCCTGCAGGCACTTTGCTATGCCTCCTCTCTAATTCTGTCATTCCAGATGATTGAGCTGGGAGCAAAACTCTGTGAGGATTATGCCCCGTGCTCAATCGTGAATGGGCTAAAAAACCAAGGAATCAGCGTGCGCACAGGCTGGCTGGTAAATGCACCATAGTCCCGGGAATAAAAGTACCTGGCAACAGCACAAAACTGAATGATATCAGAGAAGAGCACAAGGCAAAGAGTGTCTGTCCATGTGATAAAGGCTCCACTTGAGACAGTGGAAATCAAAAGGACATAATAGAGTCGCTGCTTCTCTTTGCATTTCAATAAATGTAATCTCTCTTATGCTGACACTGTGCTGAGGTTCACGTCTGTCCAACCTGCTCTGTTTGTTGAATTTGTCCCGTGTTGCTTTAATCTAGTAGACATAGCATGTACAGACAGACATGAACTGCGTTGGTAAGGTGAAGTGGCAGGAAAATGCACAGACAGGCTTTCAGTATGATATGGAGAGAAGAGGGAGGGGAACTAAAAATTGAAAAAGCAAAAATAGGACAATGGAGGATGTACACAAAGCTGAGAATCTCTTCTCATCTTAGAGGGGGGAAACAGCTGACTGAAAACCTATTTTGCAGGCCTTATATGCACAGAGCAAAAAACCATTTGCACTTCATTTCAATAATATCTTGAAAGCTTTTCCCCATCCTAAGTTATGCCTAGGCACTCATAAATAATTAAATCATTACACTAATGACTTCAAATACTTCAAATAGCATTCATACTCGCTTTACGAATAATTGCAATGGAGCACAACTGTTTTTTTATATGATTTTTCTTCTTTTTTCTTGCAGTAAAGTCAGTATTCAGGGCAGCTGGAGGAAACTTCAAAAGCATTGTTGCTAAATCTCCACCGGCAACAAAACCGATCTGTTAAAGCTGCAAACAGCACTCAGTGTAACAGTCAGAGGGAACCAAGGAACGATTTGCAATGTGAAGTGTTTTAAAATGTCATTTGATGCATCTCTGCATAGTGCTGTGAAGGGAAAAGCTATCTAGCATAGATCTAATTTCAGACATGGTGCTGGCTCTTGTCGTATCAATCCTCTCCCCACCTCCCTCTGTCAAACACACACTGTCTTGCAGATATTACACAGCAGATCAGGCGTCCTGCTGAATTTTTTTTTTGCCCCAAGTGGCAGCAGATGGCAGGATATTGTGGAGGAGGGGTAGGGTTCAGAATCATGCATACAAATATTCAGGTAAATGTGCCTACAAAGTGATGACCAGTACTTTAGCCTCAAGTGGTGTTCACATTATGTTTCCAACACTAATTGCTCATTGAAGATTTGCAGTAAGTGATCATGAGGAAAAAGAGGAGAGGGAGAAAGATCGGAGAGATGGCTTCCTCCAGTGAATGTATCAATACATTCATGAAACACAATGAAATCCATTTTTCTCTTCCATAGACACCGGCTGAACTGGAAGCGTTAGTGTCTATGTATTCTCATTTTGCTAAAGGAATAGTTCACAGAAAAATGAAAACTCACTCATTATCTACTCACCACTTTGCCGATGGAGGGGTGGGTGAAGTGTCTGTATCCACAAAACACTTAATGACACTTGGATGACACCACAGGACCAGTATGGAGACAATTAAAAAAAAAAAAATCATTCAATACATTTTAAGAAGAAGTCACTGTTTACTTCAATTGTATTGGATTTGGCTGCAACGCTGAGACTCCACCGCTGTGGACTCAAACACTTCACCCCTCCCTCTGCATAGTGGTGAGTGAATAATGACTGCATTTTCTTGGGTTAACTATCCCTTTAAAAACCTCAACAGGTTTCCTGATTTGCATGTTTTATTTACTGGGAAAGGAATTGTATTTTTCTCTCTTGCAGTCTCTAGCCAGTCCTGTTTCCTCCCCCTCCCACCGTCACGTTTCTTTTTCTTCTGCCAAAACAGGCAGAGGTTTGGATACAGCGCTGACTTGCCGTGGGGCGCTAACCGCACACGCTGACCTCTCCTACAAATGCTTCACATATTGCCTCGCCAAGTCCTTGCCACCCCACACAGAGACAGCCCTAGAGGGGGGAGAGAGGGGCTAGCACTCTGGCACTCTTAAACTGGCAATGCAACACTGGCACAGAAGGGAAAGGGGAGGGTTGGGGGCCTGGACAGACCTGGGTCCACCATTTTGCCCATCTGCTGTTTCAAAGCCCATAACAGCAGACAAGCATATAAATGCAAGCTCTCTGTCGTTTGCATTCACCTGCTCGCAGACTGCAAATTCCGAGTTATGGATAATGGAATTATATATGTGGATTGTAGAAGGTTAGAAACCACACTCGCAAAGCATATATTGATCGGTCAGTGTCATTGATTTGTCAGTGACAGTACAAAAAACTAACTCAAATACTAGATTATTGATTTGCATAATTGTATTTACATCATTAATTGCCAAGTAATTTTGGCACATTTCCTCTTCATGTGAAACATCAGGGTCTGATATATGATAAAAAGCTACGTATTTAAGAAACAACAAACCTAAATAACACATCTGATCCATCTAGAGATGGTTGGTAGGTTTATGTAACACAAAGTGGGAGCAGGGATTAAGCAGAGAGTCCTTCAGAGACATTTAGTGACATTGAGTGAATTTGTCTTTAATTTACTTGAACAAATCAGCTACTGAAAATGTAAATGATTTTATTATGATCCACCATTAGTAGAACAAATCCTCACTTTCAGTCGGCCACACAGTAGATTGTATATAAAGATGGGCGACATGAAAACTCCCCAAAAGTGAAGCGTCTCCCTAGATAAATTTTAGGGTTGATCCCATCACACTGTTGTATGTTCAAGGGTTCATTTTTACTGATAAATGTGGTTTTAATTTGCATATTAGGGAAATGTCATGATTGACAGCTGAGACCGATTGGGGGCAGGATCTCGCACCTTCCCACTATTGCCACCACACAGCCTCAAGCTCACACAGGTTATTTTGACCTAGTTTCTGGATAGTGAGAGGGAGTGGGGAGGCGTGTCATCCATCTTTCAGATACAGTCTAGAGTCCACACTTTCAATATTATGTTGTCAAGATGAATGGCAGAGTGGAATTAATTATACAGCCATTTCTTGGCCAAGCTGCATGTACTAACCCAGTTTAGATTAAACAATGGCCGACTCCATTTGATGAAAGCAATGACAGACTGACAGCCCTATCAAGTGGGCGCAAGTTCGCATGGTTTCATTAAAACTGGACAGAAAAACTACAAGCAGACACACTCATTGACTTTCTAACAGCTTTTCTGTCACCCTGACGTTGCTAGGTGAAGAAATATTTCTAGGACAGAACTCCCAAGGAAACCAAAACTTGTCATTTTTTATTTTTTTCTTAATTTGCTTTTGTTTAAGTTGCAGTGTGTTACGTTTTCTTGGCCTCTAAACCAAAAATGCTTATGATGTTAAAAGTTTCAACTAAATACATGACAATACCAATTCTCCCATGTTGGCAATGAGACTTGAACGAAGTTGACCATTCCCATTTTCTTTAAAAAGGCCCAACTATTTGTCATCTGACCTGGACGACTCAGATTCGTCACACAGACGTAACAGACGGACTTGTGTTTATTATGCGCTTTCGTATTTGAGCAGCTGTTGCTCCTGAAAACTACAACTGTCTTTGTCCTATTTCCCGCGTCCCCAAAAGCATTTAGATGATAATTAATACATGTGGTCTCCATTAGCACCAGACCAATTCAGAGAATGCTCAACCATGCATGAAATCAGCCTCCTTGTTTGGTCTGCATTGGGACACTGAAGTCAGGTCTTGGAGGTAATGGTGGCACATGAGTGAAGCCTTTGGTTTCTCACCAGTGAGTCTCGGGGCTTTGCAGAATAATAGAGGGGACAGGGAGAAAAATAAAACAAAGTCGAATTTGCATTACATGAGTTGTACATTAAATATTCATATGAATAACTTTTATGGACCCAGCGCATGGCTGCTGGAGAGGGGA